CGGCGGTGGAAGGCAGTAAACGCGAGAATATGGTGGCCGGGGCGGGGAAGGGGGGGGAGGAGGGGGGGGGGGGGAAGGACTTTAGGACTTTGACAACAGAGAATCTGCTGGCTGTCAACAAATGGATTAAGCAGGTACCCAGTTGATTGCAGAGATGCCAACATTCAAGTCAAATGGGGAAAAAAACCCCATTGTTATCAAGAATTTCAAAGCAGATACAGTCGTCTTTCCTAGAGCAACCTCATCCATTTATATGGGACACAAGGGGGAAAGCACTTCTCCCCCCCCACCCCCCAAGAACTTAATTCAACAGAGAAGATGGCAAAAAGGTATAAAAACCCTCTACTGTGGCAGCAGTGGTATTGCTGGAGACCCCAGCAATGCCAAGCCAGTCTGAAGGGGGAGGAGGAGTACAAAGAGGAGTATCTAGAGTAAGGCACAGCTGGCTACCGAGCAGTTCTCATATTCTGCTCAGTAACAAACAATGGTTCTATGAGCTCTTCTTGGTGCCATGGCAAATTGTACATTTTGAGAACCAAATAGCAGCACTCGAAGTCGCAGCACTCCCCCTCCTTCCTTTCCTCTCTCCCTCCCAAGACCTTGGTGCAGAGGCAGAAGTACAGGGATGCTCTAAAGGCAAAGCAACTCCAGATTGTCTGTCCTCCTGCAGGGATAGGCAGACAGTCGCTATAACATAGGCCTTGGGAAGAAGGAAAAAGCAAGTGAGATAAGAATTTTGGACAGGATTTGGAACCTTTCCAGTTCTCTGAAGAAACAAATCTCTGCATAAAACAAGCCAGCTCGTGCTCTTCCAAAGCCAGCACTCTCTGAAGGTCATTGAGCCAAGTGCAGATAATGCTGTCACTGTAATGACTAAAGACTTGCAGAGTTGCAAAAATCTAGAAGAGAGAGCTCCAGATGGGAAATATCAGTGCACCACAGAGTTAGGGAAAATCCAGGAGTAGGAAGCTGACATACGAGTTATGTTTTCTTTGTATAACAGGTTAAGGCAAAGCTGCAAAGATAAATTTATGTTTATGGTACTACTCAAGATATTCTGTAAAGGGGAATTTGGTCATTCAGAAACAAGAGCTAAAAGCAACGTCAGCAGCAATGTCAGCAGGCTAAGGTTTGTTACTTCCTAGGCTTCATTCACTGCTGTCTCTATCTGGCTTTGCAAGAACAGAGCCACCAGCATGAACTGATACTGAAACAATGCCAAACAGGAGGACTGAGGGGTGACTTTTCCCTGTTTTTCCTCAAGTTCAAAACACGTTTTGTCATTCAGGAGTTTCTCTCTTTCCAGAAGTGAAACCAGACATGAAATGCAATTTCTCTGGATTCTGCAGTTGAAAAGAGCGGGGAGCGGCCTTAAACACGCACATTTTCCAGGAAACATTCATTTCCAGAGCCTGGAAAGGGTGGGGTACTCTTCTAGCACAAACTGATTTATAGCTAGATGCTGATGCCTGCAACCATATTTGCTAACACTCTCTGAGGAAAGAAAAGTTCCTCCTCTTGTCTTCCCCCACACTTTACCCTTCTGGAAGAAGTAACTGTCAGTATTCAAGCTCTGCCTTACTCAGAACAGGATTATTCTGGTACACATGATCCGAAGTATACCCTGGGAGGATAACCTTCTTTACCGAGGGAGGCTTTCTGAGTTGAGATTGCACCATCCAACTATTCTTTCCCCTTTTCTCTGCCTAACTATAGGCCTCAAGTTGGCCTTCAGGCTGCACACACCTACGGCCTCATATCAAATTATGAGATTTTAGCACACTAGGAACACAGAAACAAAGGAGCTGCTTCTGTACTTTTATGAGTATTTTGCCTCCAAGAGATGGTGGAAATAGCATAAATTTATGAATTGCTAATTGATAGGCTGATTATACTTGCTGGAACTGGACATGATTGCATGTTATCCATCCCACTGCAGTTCCAGTACAGGCAATGGCTTGACTTTCTGTCCTGGTTTCGGCAGGGATAGAGTTAATTTCCTTCCTGGTAGCTGGTACAGAGCTGTGTTTTGGATTTAGTATAAGAATAATGTTGATAACACACTGATGTTTTAGTTGTTGCTAAGCAGCGCTTACATTAGTCAAGGACTTTTCAGCTTCCCATGCTCTACCGACTGAGAAGGCTGGAGGTGCACAAGAAGCTGGGAGGAGGCACAGCCAGGACAGCTGACCCCAACTGGCCAGAGGAACATTCCATACCATGTGATGTCATGCTCAGTACA